TGCTCCTTTCAACCTCTATCTCACATTTTTCATGTCTTAGTGATTAATGAAGTAATGTTGATATGACCTCTTTTTCATTATAAGTGACTAAAAAAATACTTCAAATTGATAAGCGTAATTATATCTAAGGCACTGTAAGACTATTTAAAATTTTAGTAAGTATGTACGTAAATTTTGAATTCTTGTTTAATGGGTATTTAAGAAAACTTACTTTCACAGTTATTGTCATCTGAAACTTGAAGATTAAAATCTTTAACTTTGCAGATGAAAGGAAGAGAGAACTTTCATAATACTTTCTAAGAATTTAGAGTATAAGATGAAACAGAAATATATTTAGAGGAAACTGATAGTTGGTTTAATTGGTTGAGCACCTTCTGCTTAGCAGGTGCTCATAACATTAAACCATGAGATGCACTTAGTCTCAAACAATATTATTACCATGCAATTTGTTCTAAAAGTTTTTCGGTTGATCTTTACAATATGGTAACTGGTAGTTTGGCGACATTTTGGAGGCGATAAAGGTTACTACCTGGCACTTTGGTAATAATGTGAGTAGTACTCAGTTCCGATTACGCATTATTTTGTGTGAGGGAAATGAGAGATCATGGGATATGTCATGTGATATTAATGGACGAATTACGGTTCTTTAATCGGAAAAGGGGGGGGGGGAAATCGGGAAAAAATCTGGAAATTTTGTATTTGGCTTTATTCTGTGTTGTGTGAAACAGTGTTCGTGAATTTTTGGATCCCATGGCCGTAACTAAAGTGAATTCGAAATGGGTATTTATGTATGTATTAATTTAATGTATGTGCTCATTTGTATTTTAAGTAGTGTTTTTGAATTTAATTATATTTTAATTAAATGATAGTTATTTTGTGAATTTTATGTTTGTAGGAATTTGGTATACGTTTTAGTTGAAGAAAACGTGCATGGAAATAATTTAAATATTTGATACTAAGTATTTGTAATGGTTGCGGTATGAATTCGTTGGTGACGTGTATAATGTAATAGATGATTTAGAGGTAAAAGTTTTTGAATATTTATTTATTTTATATGTGGAAATGTTCATATTTGGAAAGGGTAAATACTTTTCGCGATCAGGTAATTTCATATATGTTCTTTTTACCGGGTTTAAAGATTCAGAAAATTGTCATGTATTTTCGTGAAATTTTTCTAATTTATGAGAAAAAAAAGCAGTGTACATGGATATAGTGAAGAGTGTGCGCAATGCCATTTTTGTGCAATTCTGGGATGTTTTTTTAAGTAAAAATAAGTCGGCGTGTACATGGTTTATGTGTATGTGTTATTTTGAAAAACGCGTAAGGAGTATGGTATTGTGCACTTTTTTCCAATTTTGCAGTGAATATTTGTCATGATTAAGCAGTTTTGTTAGATAAAATTTCTAGCATAAGTGTAATTCGGCTAGTAGATTGTTGGAAGAAGTGTTCAGTAGATAAAAAGAAAAGAAACATGTCTTTACTTCGTGAAGACAAATGGCGGCGGGGAAAAAAAATAGAGGGTTGTTGTAGGAGAGTTGGTCGCCAAATTTTCGCCAAAAAACGCCAAGTTACCATAATGTAAAGATCAACCAATTTTTCCTATTTCCAAAGAGTAAACGAACTATCCGCAAGAGAGTTTGTCATGTGTAACTCAAATATGAGCGAGTTTTCCTTCGGAAATCCTCCATTAAAGCATCTTTCTTTATTGATATACAGTCGTAGTGTACCTTGCGATAATAAAATCCAATATTAGCCGTATATATTTTCTTTCTTGTATATTCAAACGTTAATTAATCAATAGTTCGGAAATAACTCTAAACGATATCATCTACTTTATAATTATTGTATTGCGGATTTTTGAACTACAGCGTTTGATGCCTTTCCTTTTCTATATCAGCCCCAAAATTCCTTTAAAAAAGTCTATTTGCTAGGAAACTTGAAATTTTTTTTAAACTGTTTTGAATTATTTCCATTCGATCACTGAAAATAACTATATTTATCATCAGGAAAGGGGAAAAATACTATAGTTCATTACTATGACTACCCTCGCACTTTGCTCGGAAAATAATAAGTCAGTATTAAAAAAAACAGCCTAAATCAGCCAGAAACTTGGAAAACATAATTATGGTACTCTGACTTAAATAGATAGGGATATATTTTCTATTGTGTATGTATGGATCTCAAAACTTAACCGTGGTTTTAAGTTAAATCTGAGAGTATGGAAAAGAACCATACAATTATTTTATGCATTTGGAGTTCTCTTATTTGTCTATGCTTATAGCCTTTGTGATTTATTTTATTCTGAAACATTAACGAACTTCATATTTTCTGTTTATTGATACTATTATAAACAAATAAGTTCCCTAAGCATCCGCATTTACTTAGTATAATTCTCTACAAAAACTAAGCGCTGTTTTTTCCCAGAATACATTTGGGATGTTTCACGTTTTTTCGATAGCTAATTAAACCGCTTTGAGTGCTATAAAGGGCATTCCAAATAAGAATATGTTTTTAAAAGGAAATCGCAATTATGCTTAAAATGTTGTCACTGTCACTAATTTTGATTTGTGTTTAGTATGCTCTGGCAGTTCATAGTGTCTAAATGCCCATTTCAAGAACGTTAGGTTATTATCCAAAATTTTATGAAAATAAAAGTTTTTTTTTTGGGGGGGGGACTACTCAACGTGCACTTTGCGGAAACTATCCTCTGCACAGTTACCTTTCTATGCCTGGTACTCGTCAAAAGGTCACTGTAAGGTACATAACGGTATCATCGGACCAAATTCCCCCCCCCAAACGAGGGAGGAGATGCAGTTACAGTGATTGGTGAGAGATATCAACTGATATAACTATTTCTTTTTTTTGGCCACATTTAGAGGACATGTGTTTCAAAAAGTCACATGCCACAATGCTAACGCTCCTGTTCATGTATGCCCACCAGCGACCAAGCGGTAAAGTCGTTGAACACTGGTAGTTCGGTCCGAGGTTCGAATCCCGCGAACGGGCTGGCTGCATGGGCGTTTTCGTGGTTTTACCCATGTGTAAGTGTACGAGCAAGTTTCCCTTAGAAAGTCCTCCACGAAGGCATCCCTTCCCTTAGGCAGATAGGCCTAGTGTGCTTTGCCGTAATTAAATACACCATACAAAACACCTATTGATGTATTGTAAAAAAAAAAGTTTGGTGAAAGGAAAATTTCACGAAATGTAACGTTAACCTTCCAGAAGTTAGGATTTAACTCCTTTAGATTATTTTTTGTGGAGTTATTTTAAATCAGTGGCCTGTACAAAATCAGTGGCCTAAACAAAACACGAACCCTTGAAGCATTAAGAATAAACATCGAATGCTGCATTCGTAGCATTAGGCTCGAGTTATTGTATACAGTCAAATCGAAAACTGGATTCATCGGATTTTTTCATGAGCACCAAGTCGAAATGAACACTTAAATGATGTCTTATTGAAAACATAGTGTCATAAATTTCACTTCAAAATAAGAAGTTTGGTTGTATCTGAAATTGTTTTTATTTCATTTTAAAATCATATCATTCTTATTGGAATACCCTTTAAACAGTTTAGATTCATTTTCATGCTCTCATACAAACTTTGTTTTTACCACTTCCCGCACTCACCCCTGAATTTGTTTAGATATTTTGAAAATAAGCTTCCATTTTCATTTGCATTCATTTAAAGAAACTTTACACATATGGAATACGTTCTACAGCAACCAGATGTCTGGACACGTTTCAGATTTGATTATCAGCAACAAAATTAATTAACAGAATGCATTTTTTTCCCACGTTTAACAAATACGACACAGTCAGTTTCCTTCGGTACTATTAGCTACTGAACAGGGAGTATAGCAATAGTCCGGGGAACCGAACTTGGGAGCAATTAATAGTGTTCAGTGATTTATGCCCTCAAGAACCGGTCATCTTCAGATCCTTGAATAAGATTTATATCACACTGGTGTACTTAGCTCCGTCTGCAGATCTTCTGCTGCATTATCTACGTTCAGTTTAACCGTTTGAGTATGGCAAAAGTATGGCAAAAGTTTGAGTATGGCATTCTCGATACAAAACAAGAGAAGCGCTATCGCGCTGCGTCGCATTTTTGGCATACGCAAGTGAAGCGCGCGCCGGACTCAAACGGTTAATGGTAAGGAAAATAATGTAAAATTGGATTACAAGTCATTAAAATGAATACAATAAATTATTATCGTAATAATGTTATTTTTCTTCAATATTTTTTAAATTTTCAGTTGAAATAACAGGGCAGAATTTAAAATCTAGAAAATGTGCAAAATATTTTGATTTGTTGCGATTCCCGTAACTGTAGTTTTAACTTAAAAGGTTTAATAATACAAGCATACATGTCAGTGATAAGTTTATTCTATCCTCGTAGGCCCACCAGCGGCCGAGCGGTAAAGTCGCTGAACACTGGTAGTTCGGTCCGAGGTTCGAATCCCGCGAACGGGCTGGCTGCATGGGAGTTTTCGTGGTTTTCCCCATGTGTAACGTGTATACGGGCCAGTTTCCCTTAGAAAGTCCTCCACAAAGGCATCCCTCATCTTAGGCAGATAGCCATCGAGGCTTTGCCATAATCACACACACACACACTATCCTCGTAGCTCTTTTGTGAGAATATTTAAATGACTGGCTGCATCAGCAAGAAATGATAAATCTGCTATCTATGTATTATTATATTTCACTATATATCATTTTGTTACAAAATTTAAAGAGACATCTGCAGAAAATTAAGTTTTTTATAAAATTATTTTCAAAATGAGATGTCGTTCATTGTTTACACTGCAAATGTTATATTGTGTTTAAATGTGCTCTACATTTCATATGAGGACAATAAAAGGTTAATTCATTTACATAAAATAACAAGACTTTCTTTTTCTACAACAGTTTTATCGTTGCAATATTGAATAACCATATTAAATTACATTAGCAGGAAAGAGAAATTACAATCGCTCTATATGTTTTCTTTATTCTTACAGATTTCCCGTACATTAGACCCATACCCTGCGAAAATCGTATGACTGGTGAGATTGGTGTTTGTACGTTCAACTGGTCTTGCATCAATGTGGCCCATGGTGTTCGTATCGGCAGCTGCCTGGACAGAATCTTTGTCGGCACCTGCTGCAAAATCCCGAACGAGAACTCAAGGACAACAACCTCAAAATTCAGCGGCTCTTCAAGTCAACCCCACTCAGAATATACCTCATCGAATAAATTCAGCACAGAGTACATCTCATCAAAAAGATCCGACGCTGAGTACATTTTATCAGGAAAGCCCACTACCGAATACCTCGATTCTACAAGAAAACCCAGTTTTTTTGAAGAGTTCAGTAGTTCCTCAAGAAAATCTAGTGACGAATACAGCAATTTCTCAAAGAAACCCAGCGGTGGGGAAAAAGAACAGCAAGAAGCGATCAATCAAAATACTCAAGTGGAGCCATGTATATCAAATTATAACATCTTTACAAATTCGCCTGAAGGCCAAAAAAATGAAAAACCAGTTTCGATTATTGATTTAAATCATTCAAATGTTACCATCAACTCATCTACTCACCATACTCAAAAATCAAATCATAATTTAGGAAGTCTTCCTTCATCTCAAATTACTGTCAATTCATATAACACAAAGCATTCTGATGTAAAATCAGCGCACACAACTTTCCCTCCTCATAACAGAAAACCTATACTACCTATAGAAATGTTTCGTAAGAATCCAACAACTTCATTTTCGCAGGATACTAAGAGTTCGAGTTTGAAACAAAACACTTACGGTGAAGATGACTTATTTTTCAGTATATTGGAGAGTTTTAAATTGAAAGCAACGACTAAAATTCCCCCTAAACCTGGAACGATTCCTGAAGTAGTCTACCAAAGGAGACCTGTTGCGTCCAATATGACCCATAGTGAACAGAAGCCTGCAGCGGTAGAACTTTCGCAAGTTCGGAAGCCTGTAACTGAAGATACTCTTAATAAAAATGAAACTTTAATAGCTTTAGAATCTCATATTTTAGGAACTCCAGTAATTTCTGACGAATTTTATGATAAACGGAAGCCGATATCTTCAGAACAATCTCATGATTTGCGAAAACCTATAGTTCCAGAAGTCTCTCATGATCTACGAAGGCCCATACTTCCAAATACATCTCACGATCTACGAAAGCCAGAACTTCCAGATGTTTCTCATCATTTACGAAAACCCGTATCTTTTGGTGCATCACATGATTTGCGAAAACCCTCAGTCCCAGAGGTTTCGCATGATCAGCGCTGGCCCGTGTTAAATGAAGAAACCCACGATAGAAGGTTGCCTGTATTAAATTTGTTTGCATGGCCCTACAGTTTTTTTATGACAGACAACGAGAAACTAATTCAACCTGATACCTCAAATTTATCTCTTAATATTTCTCAAGATCCAGATATCAAAGTAAATACTAATGAGATACCATCAACAGATCCTAGTCATATATTTGATGATTCAGAAAGTGGTCTGCAAGATGAAAGTGTTAATTCTATTTATACATCGATAACAGCTGATTCATCAACGATAAAAAATGTTTCAGATTTATTCAGTAATACCATGGATAAAGATTACACAACACCAAATTTCACATTATTCACTGAACCTTCCTATCAAAAGCCACCATCAAAATCTCCTTCAGAATCATTCCAAAATGAACAGTCTAAAGGATCTCCAACATCTGTGAAAGACATTTCAAGGGGTAATTATTTTTCTATTTCTAATTTTATATTATTATATATTCAATATTTATACATGCCAACTACTATACTATAATGCTACTAATATGCAGAAGGAAACTTTATAAGCGTGCGCATTAAATAATACTTAGGTTCGTAAAAAGTGTGAAAAGTGTGGTTTAGCATTGCTCTGAATATGCATTTATGATATCTGTAACTTAAGATAATTTTGCAATTCTAAATGCAAAGTTGAATAATACATTCTTATCAAAAAAAATTGAAAGCGATTTTTATCCCATTTTATTGCAATTTTTATTAACTGTTTTAATTTGTAAACCCCTTCACTTGCCATCATTTAGGAATCTAATAGTATGAATAAGACAAAATTTAATTCGTTTGTATCTGTTTTCTTTATTTTCTCGCAGAATTTTTAAATGCACTAATTAGTTTCCCTCCTTTATTTTTCCCAGTATAGGAAGGTTTAGTTTTTAATGAAAGTAAATTACATTCATTATATATATGTAATAATTTAGATGTTAATGACGCGGCAGGGAATATATTATTACGGAATGACGAAGCTTGGTGCCTAGATATAGTGCAATGATCATAACCTGTTAAATACTTCCTTTTATTATTGGGGGGGGGGAAGAACACTCAGCTTAATCAAAAAATACTCACCTGTTCTTGAAAAGTTACATAGGTACTTTTTAGACTTTTGAAATATATTTGAGGAAAGAAAGTGCAAAAACGGATACTAAGCGTGAAAGCCAGTGAAGCGAAAGCAGAATGTGTAGTTATACTTCAAAAGGTTACACTAAAAATGATTCACTTTATCCTTATTGACTAATTTAAGCTTCAGTTTTCAAATGTTAACATTATGGTTGGCTGAAACGTTCTGTGAGTATCTGCATAGGTCGAATTATGTAAAGATAATGACATGGATAAATTTTGAAATGAAACAGCTTAGAGAGATTTATTATGAGCAGTTCCTATTTTTAGAACAGAAATGGGATATAATCAGCTAAAAAAGGAGTTTTAAGAGACTACTGCAAATTAAAGTTAGAATTTTATCTTACCTATTTTTTTTTCTTATATATGCCTTATCATTAACAGTTTGTGGAAGAGCCAGAAGTAGTACCATTGTAGGAAGAATCGTTGGAGGAAGAAAATCACACTATCTGAGATGGCCTTGGATGGTAAATAATTTTAAATCCAATAATTTTAGTTTTGTTCTATTATTACTGTTACTATTATTATAATATCATTAAACAAAACTGCTAAATTAGAAACTATAGTTTTTTACACATAAAATCAATACTGTAAGGCTGTAATTTAAGCAATTTATATCGAGTTCAGAAATAAGCCTTTCTTTGATTCCTTTCACTAAGGAAAAAGTTTTGTTTTTAACCCAGATCTAAAAAGCACTCGAAAAATATTTAAATACTTTTAAATTCAGAAAGATTTAATAGCCCCGTTAGAATTGAATTATTTTGATCATTGTTAAATGTGATCAAATAATAATAAACCCCAAAAAATAGAATAGTACCTGTTTTATACTCTTCAACACTTGCATATCAGAATGTTTTGTAATTTTATATATAAAATTTCTCATAAATGCTTACGAATTAATCGCGTTTTGTAAATATTTTGCAACATATTTTACGTAACCAAAAATAGGAAAAATGCACTGATTACCCAGCATTAGTCAGAAATAAACTTTTAATTATTATGTGAATATAGTGGGAGGAAATAGAGCGCACTGCGAAACAATTATCTTTGCAAGGCAGACCCCTTTTCTCATCACTGCAAGGTGAAAAGCTCATTCAACAGTCTTTATAATTTAGTTATCGAGTTTAACCCTTTGACTACTAACGAGACATGCATGTCCAACTAAAAGTTTAAAAATTACAGCTGGGTTAAAAAGTACTTGGAATCTTCTGAATTTTGGGGATCATCTTCGAATAGTTGAAAAATCAAGACGCTGCTATGCTCGTTGTACACAAATGAACATAGAGAAAAGAACAAATATGAGTTGCCCAATCTGTAATGTTGGGTTATGCAAAGAATGCTCTACCCTGTACCATATGATGTAAAAGCTATTTCATGTAATAAAGTTTTCCAGAAATAATAGGTATGCTTATATAGTAAGTCGATCGCTACGTGTGGGACATATGTGTCTCAGCCGTAGTTAATGGTGGGATGGATGTAAAAAAAAAAAAAAAAAAAAAAAAAAATGTATGTAGCTTCAAAATTTTTTGTCAAAAAAAAAAAAAAAAAAAAAATCCGAAATGCTAAATTTACCTTATTTGTGAAATATTTTTGCACTTGGATAGAAAACGGGAAGATTTTTTTTTTTTTTTTTTAATTCATAGTCTAAGGGTTAAGAAATGTCTTTCACAGTTTAATTCTTCTTCCGGATAACTTGCATGACAGATTTAAGAAGAATCGAAGTGAGATTTTCCTTTTTTAAAAAAAAGGCTAAATAGGCAGTAGTTTTTTTTTTTTTTTTTTTTTTTTTTTTTTTTTTTTTCAGTGCCATATAATGTTTGTTGCCAGACATGATAAGGAAACTCTCATGCTCTAACATTGTATCAAACAGAATTTTGCAGAATTTTAGTGAAGTCTATTCTAATGCTAAAGAAATAATTTAATGACTCTGTCCGATGACCTTCCATATTTACTTAATTAAGCAGGGCATGAAGTAAATCTTCGGCATTGCCTAAGATTTATTTTATATCCGGCCTTACTTACGTAGGTTTTTTTTTTTTTTTTTTTATAATTTTCTCGGCTTTAAGTTCGAAGTTTCTAGGTTTTAAGAATGCAATTTGAAACCTACTTTTATTAATTCGGGCGATAATTTTTATGGGGGGGACTATAATTCAGATAAAAAGTATATGTTAACATTAAAGGTAATGAAAATTCTAAAATAATCTTCAAAATTTCTACATTAGCATAACATATTTTGAACCCATAATTCCAGTAAACAGTTTAGTTTTAATAATGGCAGTAACGTTATTCCATTTTTATGAAATACGATACTGAGATTTCAAAAAAAAAAAAAAAAAAAATCTCTGGCATTGGTTAGCAAAATATGGAATAAGCGGACATAGTGGATTAGTTTGCATCAATCAATTTAAATAATTTTTAAAGTAGTAACTGTTACAACCAGGATGATTTCTGGGTACAATGATCTGGCAAAATAGTCAAAAATCTAATAATTGCTTGGAAGGAGGATAAAATTGCTTATAATTCTCCATTTATAATTTTGTTTATAGCAATTCAAATAGAACTATACACTTATACACCTAAGGCATTTTTTAACCCCAAGGTTTCATGATTATGAAAATCTTATTTAATTCTTGTCTGAAAAAAAAAATCTCATTGTTTCAAGTAATTTTCATTGAATACATTTCGTTTCTATATTATTAAATAGTTTTTACATTTTTATGGTGTTAAGTACTTTTACCACCAGCTTCTTATTTTATCACATTTTGTGTTCTTAACATCTTATTCATTTTACTTATGTTTATTTCTTTAGTAGTTTTAACTAACCATTTTAATCTGTACGGAATGTATGTTGTTTCAGATCTCGCTTCGTCGATACGAAGGTCAAGCGTTTAAACATAAATGTGGAGCTGCATTACTCAATGAATTATGGGCAATCACAGCCGCTCATTGCGTTGATGGGTAAGCATACGTTAATTCAAATTTTACAAATCGTAAATGCTGTTTTGAATTTTATAGGGACTTGGTATTAGATATAGAATTTGTAGAATGTATCTTGATGAAGAGTTAAAACTATAAGAAAAATATGTTGCCTTAGTTAGCGCTTGTTTAATTTTGATAGAAAGAAAACAAAAGAAAATTTGTAGCCATTTTTTTTCCCCTTTTGCCCGGGAGAGAAATAAACCAAATAATTGAAAAAACTTTATAACGTTCCCGCACTCTTATGCAAGTCGTCCACTCTTCGTAAAAAAACGAAATCTTAGTAACGTTGGCTTCAAGAAGTGTGCACAATCAGTTTCACTCTTGAAAACTGATCGTCGGCGCTCTTATGCCTTTTTCATAGAAGTTTGCGCCCCCTTATGCAATTCCAATTTTCGCTTCAATTACTCATTAATTAAGTAGGATATGACGTAAATCTTCGACATTGCCTAAGATTTATTTGCCTAAGATTTATTTTAAGATTTAATTATCCGGCCTTACTTATCCTACGCACCTTAAAGAAAAACGGGGAAATTCCATAAGCGTGCTCGCACCCTTGTGAAAAACGCTGAATTGTTATAAAGCTGCTAGCACTTTTATGCAAAAATGATGGATAGACATAAAGGTGCTGACGTTTTCGTGAATCAGAACAACTTTTCAGGTTGCCGTTCTCGGAAAAGGACTCGGTATTTCAATAAAATATATTTTCACCGAAATGGCAAACTGGTATACACGTAAAGGCCGAAAAGGATGTAACATTTTTTTTTTTTTTTTAATAATTTTCTCAGTTTAAAGTTCGAAGTTTCTCAATTTTTCTTGAATGCTGAATGCAATTTGAAACCTACTTTTATTCAATCGGGTGATAATTTTGTACACCACTTTTTTAAGTAATTTAGCAACATATAACGTGTAGTTTTTTTTTTTATGTAATATAGCGAATATCGCTAAATAAATATTCATTACATATGCTTTTTTTGTTTTGTTCTACAGTAATGTATGTTTCTGAAAATTATGAATTCATTTATAATTATTAACTTACTTAATTTATTGCTGATAGTTACTCATATTACTCGTATTTATATATTATGAATCCGTTATAACATTATTATCTTTTGGACAGCATCTTTCTTTTTCACAAACAACAACATTTTCTAGAAAATTTCTAGACAGCAACTTTTTTTTAATTTTTTGTAAGTGAGCTTGTAGGTTCGCGATGCTGAAAAATTGAGAAACACGAGAAAAAAGGAAATATTAAATGGAAGAGATTTGAAACATTTTATTACTACAGCAAAGCAGTAAAAATGCTTTTTACATTTGAAATTGACGTATTTTGATTGTCGAAAGAAAACCATGTATTATTTATAAACTATTAGATAGAACGTGTATGAATAACTGAATATTTCGTCGAAATAGAAAATTTAGTACAAGACGTTTTTTGGTTTAGTTTACGACCTGTATTCAGATTAGGTTAAAAAAAACCTGTATACATCCTTTTTCAACTTTTATGTTTATAGCAGATTGTCATATTCGGAGAAAATGAAGTTTAATTTGTTGAAATATACGAGTTCTCTGAGAATCACAAATGAAAAATTGTACTGATTGACGAAAACATCGCCACTCTTGTGCCTATCCGGTGTTTCTCATAAGTCCAGAGAGCTTTATAAAAAATTCAGAGTTTTTCGTAACAGAGAGCACCTTTACACAAAGTTCCCATTTTTCATACAGGTGAAGATTTATTTCATTCCTTGCTTAATTAATCAGTAATTAAAGTGAAATTCGGACTTGTGTATGTGTGCGCTCACCGTTATAAAAGACGCTGGATAGCATGAGGGTACCGACAATCAGATTAAAAACAGACACTGATCTTTAATTTGTGCACAATCCCTTATGTCGTAGCAGCGTTATGAAGATTTTTGGCTTTTCGAATAGTTGCCGATTTACATAAACGTGCAGAACCTTTATGAAGGCGTCTCACAGCTTTTCTTGAAGCAAATCACATACGGGTAATCAATTCGGGACCTGTGAGATAAGCTAACTCAAGTCATAAAACTAATTAATGCAATCTTAAATTAGCTTTTGTTTTAAGCATAAAAACTTGATTTGTAATGCATTTTTTCCCTTCCTTACTACGTACGTGCCTTCGTGGTATAAATGGAAGTATGTCCGTCTAGTAACAGAGAGGTATGGCGTCCGAATTCCGACGAGGGCACCGTTCTTTGTCTGACCTTTCCTTCTTCGGTAAAAAAATTGAATAACTCTACAGACTGCTTTTCGAGAGACAAAGAAGCACTCTTATAAGCTAGATTATTTCCGCTAAAGGAGCGCAGAGTTTATTAATTTAAACTTTTGATTTGAAACCTTTTGAAGGACATTTTATATTCCTTGTATTTTTAATTATATTAAACAAATATTTCACCCAAAAAATACAATATTTTGTGTGGAGTCTATGAAAAAATTGCTGAAAATATGAAAAATCATATAATGTTTAGCCTTTCCAGCCGCGTAGTGGTAAATAATCTTCATTAAAAGTACGAGTAGATTATTCTTAAACTACTAATATATACAGTTTCTACTGTTTCTTTCACAGGAAGCTGCCTAATGACGTGATGCTGCGTCTGGGAGAGTACAATTTATATAGGACAGATGAATCGTATCCACACGTGGAACGCCGGATCTACATGATTGTCATTCATCCAAATTTTGATCCTGTTACTTACGAGAATGATTTAGCTCTTTTACGTTTCTATGAACCTGTACAATTTCGTGCCAATATAGTTCCCGTTTGCTTGCCCATATCTGTGGGTAACATTGCCGGAAGGACGGCTGTTGTGACTGGCTGGGGAAGATTATCAGAAGGTAAAGTTTTCGGAATTTGTGATCTACTTTGTCTTTTTTAATTGAATAACTTTTAAAAAGAAGCAGCTTATTCACCGAAAGCAGATGATCTTATTATGATCGTAAATATGCTGTATCGGTACCTGGGTATATCAAATGATGTGCATAAAAATAATTTCTTTTATACCGTTTTGCTACTATCGTGTTTTTTATCTATTATTATTTTTTAAAATCGAAAGTTGTGAGTATCATGCATTGAGCCAATCAAATGGCTTCATTTTGCTTACCACAAATCTACTCGCTTTGTGTCTTCCTGTGTTCCATTTTAGTTACTCCCGTGATGTTTCAGAGTTGCTCATTATTATTATTCCGCTGAAATTACACCAAATAATAGTCGTATGAGGGCCTTAAATTGCTCGGTGATAATATTTTTTGTGTAAACGTTTAGAAGATTCGGGGATTATTACTTAATTTTGTGTATTGGTTAAAACTGTGTATCTCAGAACTGTATCGGTAACAAGGAGAAAGATCTTCATTACTGTGTAGAATAATATAGATATAACGTAAAACATAACTTAAATGGAGAAATCGAGAATTGATGTGACTCGTTTTATTGCTACTTTCAGTTTATTTTGGTGGGCTTAAAGAAAACGTCAGAAAGCAGAATGACTTTGTGACAGAACAATCAGAAAACAGCCGGAAAACGGAATGACTATTCGTACGGCATGAATATTGTTTCCATCAAAATACTTTAGTATTATAAATTATATTTAAAATTAATAAATTTATTTATTTTGCATATAATTTGTAATTTATTTTATTCCCTTCTAGTAACTGTTTAAGAATTCATTACTTTCCTTTATCACTCACTAGCTTGGAAATGAGAGAAAAAAATATAAAAAATAAGGAATGAAACATCGCATTATCAATGAAATAATTTTAAAAAACTTGCAGGTTTTCACGTTTTAAGATTTCTTTATATATTAGGGTATCAGATGTCCAGGATTAGCACTGAGGATTCGAAATTTTAAACGTCTGGTCACGTCCGGGTCTATGTTCGAGACCGAAAAATGTCCGTTATTTTAAATGAGAGCAGCTGCCCATCTAGTTAACCAGTTTCGTTGCTAAACGCATTAGCTTTAGTGAAAAGAATTTGTTCAGTTGTGATTAACATTTGATTTCCAGAAGGAAGTTGATTATAGGTGTCAGCAGTAAAAAACTTCTAAATTTGAAAGTGAATTCCAAGTATCCATTTAGTGAACTGATGAACATATAAAACCCAGTAAGAGTTTCTAAGGAAAAGCTGATGATAATATGCAAGACTGACTCGGAAATAAGAATCCCAGCCAGCCAGGCACATCATCTTGAGAGCATATATGTGCACTGTATCTTTTAATATTTTGAGTATTTTGTTGCACTCATTATCTGATTTCCCTATATATATGCTTTTAATAATAGGAATTAAAGGTGATAAGAAAACCTAATATCACAAGACTACGTCATTTCCATGTGAGATCATTTCTGAGTCATAAAATGGGCCCACCAGCGGCCGTGCGATAAAGTCGCTGAACACTGGTAGTTCGGTCCGAAGTTCAAATCCCGCGAACAGGCTGGCTGCATGTGTTTTCGTGGTTTTCCCCATGTGTAACGTGTATACGAGCCAGTTACCCTTAGAAAGTCCTCCACGAAGGCATCCCTCCCCTTAGGCAGATAGCCCTAGTGTGCTTTGCCATAATTAAATACAACATCACATCTGAGTCATAAAATGTGTCTCGGTATAATGTGTATTGTTCAAACAAACTGAAGTATCGAAAACACTTGATTGCTTGATAGCTTAATTCAAAATAGCAGTACTCGGTATTCGTGGGTAATGCGTTCTAATACCTGTCTCTCTAAAATAATGGATAAAACTGTTGTTTAATTGATAAACTGAATATAGTAATAAGACATTACCTATATTAGATATGACATTAAAATAAACTATTTTGTGGCCTGCACTGCACGTTTACAAAGAATTTTCCTTATGTCTCTTTGTGGGTTTGAAAATATTAGATCCTGATATGTTAGCTGAAGTTTCACAACATGATAAAGTAACGTAAAAATGCAGTACCCGCACGTATTAGTTAAGTTTCAAGACACGCAGCCAATTTTTTTTATTATTATTTGCCTCAATCATACATCCTACTTGCGCTCACGCTCACGACAATAAGTGAATACAAAACATATACGCATTTCTGCTACTGTTAAACCGTCTATCTTTTTTTTTTAATACAAATTTTTAGGATTTCAAGAACCCACGGATCCGTGGCTATGATCGCAGTCTTGTACTTAAAAATGTTTGATTGATGAATAAGCTTGCAATTCTGAGCCATTTTAAATTTATTCTAATTGTAAATACATAATTTATTTTTGCTCTTTCAGAAGGAGAGTTACCTGGATCATTACACGAAGTCCACATGCCAATATTGACAAATAAAGAATGTGAAGATATGTATTCAGCAGCTGGATATTCAGAAACTATAAGAGATGTTTTTGTGTGCGCAGGCGTTCTGAGTGGCGGATTAGATGCTTGCGAGGTAAGTATAGGAATAAATGCCCTGGGAAGGGAAGGGAAGGGATGGGAATTCATGCATGAAAAGTTGTACAGTTCGTACCTAAAATCCGGTCTTTTGAGAGACGCAGTGGGTGTGGCAAATCCGGTCACTGAACTACAAGGCCTTTGGCCTTGATCTGTCTAAACTGAGAACGATTCTGACGTCAGCAAAAGCAAATAGGAATTTTTTACTTTTTTTTTAATGCCAGTTTATTCCGATCATTATCATTTTTCTCAAGCCCTTAGGAATGGCTCAGCGGACAATTCCAGAAAATAGCTCTTGCTAATGTGCATGACCGATCTCACTTTTCTAAATTTCTCAAATTCTCCGGGTAAAAGCTGCACGATATTAATTTAGCAGAGCTAGATTATGGTGAAACTAAGTTGAATTACAACACGGAAAGAAAGATGTGTCGTCACATAACGGTGAACATTTTGAACAGGGCTTAATTTCTAAAATTAGAAGTGCCGAAGCCCTATGGAAGACAGTCAGGAAAGAAGAAAAAGAATCAATAAATAAAATGACTAATAAAACCATTAATAATTTTAAAAAATTAATTATTAAAAATAATTAAAGTAATTAAATAATTAAAATTTAATAAAATGTAAAGAGATAAATTACAATTTTACAAGTAATTTTTAATATAATTTTATTACTAAAAATAATATTTTTGACATTAAAAATTCTACCGAAATTGTTGTTCAGTTACATAAAAGAAGCCTTCTTATTTAGGGCTCAGGTGCGGCTAGAACTGTAAATTTATCCCAAAAACTAAGAAGTACGGGAGCCGAGCTCCAGTGGGCTTCGGCGCAATTTAAGCTCTGATTTTGAAGCGCGGCTATTTTCGCAAACAACTTAAAAAATAGCATTAAGCGAGGAAAGCAAATATCGATGTTTTACATTTATTGACTGAAGAACTGATTCCCGAATTCTTATGTACGAACGTTAGTAGTGCTTAATAATTAATAAAAAATTTAATTAGAAATTTCCATTTGTTAACTTGAACAATCTGCTATTTTAAAAAGGAAGCCATTAATTTTCATATATATGACGTTGATCTTATATTGCAATTAAAATGAATGTTTTCAAATTAAATAACTCTTAACCATTTGACTAAGAATTTATAAAAATAATAATAATAATAATGGCATTTGGCGGGATAATATTTAGCGCCAATTGGGTAACAAGAAGTGAAACATGCAAAACTGGTTTGATTCTACGACTGAGATATGTTACAGTGAGTTTAAGTACTTTTTAACCCCGCAGTAATTTTTAAATTTTTAGTGGAACATACATGTCCCGTTGGTAGTCAAAAGGTTAAGTAACTTCCAATGAAATCTTTTTAAATACGCTGCATTAGTTCATTTCCTGCGATGTATAAATTTTAATGAGATGCAAGAAACACCTAAGGCATTATGCTGTGCCCTCTCCTTTTTTTCGATCTCTCTGGGATCATCCATCTATTAGGTCTTTCCTCACAGACTCATATCAAGGAAGGTTGTTTAAAAAGGCATGGAGAAGTGAAAACCCTGTCTTATTAGCATAACGATCAGAATTACCTACTTTTCCGCTCAGTATACCACTAATAAAACATATTTGTTTCAGCTTCGTATCAGCAGCATCGAAGTTTAATGGTTACACCATTCAGCCGAAACAGCCGTTATCTGAAAAAAATTCTTAAAATAAATAAATAAAAAGAGACGAAAAAGACAAAGGAAAAGATAAACCATGAAAATGTTTTCTTCGTTGTTTACTGTTTTCACTTCGTGGATTTGGTGTCATTGCAAAACAAAGTAAAACCACTTAAGAGAAATATTAGTTGCAGCCCTTGCACACAGGGGAACCAATGAAATAACTGCACAAGTATGCGTTGAATAATTAAGCCTTTTCTTTATTGATGAGTGCAGAAGTCTCTATGTGATACTAATTTATAGTGAAATAATATAATAAATTTTTTCTTACTATTTGGCTTTGCTGTTTTGAATAGCTCATTTTAAATATAAAATTTTATATGTTGTACCTAAATAGACTCATTCTTAAAATGTTAGGGGCCCCCGAGCGGTAAAGTCGCTGAGCACTGATAGTTCGGTCCGAGGTTTGAATCCCGCGAACGGGCTGGCTGCATGGGTGTTTTCGTGGTTTTCCCCATGTGTAACGTGTATACGAGCCAGTTTCTCTTAGAAAGTCCTCCACAAAGGCATTCCTTCCCTTAGACAGATAGCCCTCGAGGCTTTGCCGTAATTAAATAACCTAACCTAACCTTAAAATAGTAGGCCTATTGTAACCTGAAATGTTAAACCGAAATATGCATGCAATGTTCACGTGCAATATCTTTGAAATTTGGGGATTTGTATGCTTTTTATTTATTTATTTTTTTATTTATTTTTTTTTTAACTTTCGAAAGTGCAATGGTAAATTCTTCGATGTAATATACTGTAACCTGAAGTTTATAGATTCTAATTTTTTAAAAGTAGGAGACAACCGAAAAAAAAAAAGAAAAAAAAACTATCGTAGAAAATCCAGAAACAGAATCTAAATATTTAAGGAAATTGTTTGATAATTAAGAAAAAGGGAAATACGTTTCGCCTCACAGTAAAGTACTATATAATGCAAGACAAATTGCCGGAATTAGCGATTTTTTAACCGTTTACTAATTTTCCCTATATATATGTAATAAAAACGATAAGTAAAAGTACTGATGTAGAAACACTGAGACATAGAAACGCAGAAATGCTGATTACGCAGCACGTAGGTGACTTAGAACGTAAATGCATATTGAAGATGAAGAATTCATGAAGATTGCATAGAATGCTAAGATGTTGAATCCGTAATGATTAGGAAACGTGGCAGTCGGAGTGGATTAAATTTCATTTTTATTTCAATTGACACTTGTGGCTATAATTTACTTGGCACTCTAATCGTGCTTATTCAAGAACATTTACATTTTTTAAAACTGCTGCGATAGAAAGAGAGCGAGGGAAATAGTGTCTTAACTGGAAGAGAGGCAGAAGCTTAAGTGCGGCAATTATCCAATGAAGGCTCACCAAGAGGAAGGTTTTTGTTTAGATTAGAAAGGCCTCAATTCTTGAAATTTTGAGTACAGGTTCCGAACTGTATTTTATACAGTTCGAAACCTGTGTTATATAATGTATACATGTAATTAATTTTATATCAGCTTTAACTTGTTGAATTTAATGTTATACAGTGCATGACGTACTTAACGATGCAAAGTGATTTCTAAGAGAAATATTATTCATGATTTAACTGATTATTTAATGCATGGGATAATTTTCGAACATAACCATCAAATAAAAAATGTGTTCTTGTTTTAATAGTCAAAATTGCAGTGTTGTAGAATAAAAATAAAAAAAAAAACTGTTTTCTTGCTTTTTATTTTGTAACTAATAACTAAAGCTTCTAGATCACTAAAATAATGTCACTTTTTTTTCTAGGGTGATTCTGGAGGACCTATGGTGATAAGAGGAGAGAAAGGTCATTGGACGCTGGTAGGGCTGATATCCTGGGGCATGGGATGTGCGGCTCCCAAACAGCCTGGTGTATATACTAGAATAACAAAATTCACTGATTGGATAAATGAAATCATAGCATATTAAATTTATAATTGTAACATTTTATCTACAGGAATAAGACAAATACAACATTAGAAAAAAAATGTGTTATGCAAATCAGAAAATAGATTCATCATGCATTTCCAGCATTGTCATTTCTCTGACCATATTAGCTTTATTTTTATATGTTTTTGTCTGCAAGTATTCGTTTATATACATACATATGTTTGAGTCTGAAGTAGACATCAGTTGTTATTGTGTTTTAAGTCTCAAGCAGACAACGTTTGTTATTGTTACATTATCTGAAATGTTACGTTACATATGAAAAATTTGGTAAAGGAAATCTTTTCTATAACGACTGCCATAAGTCTCACTCCTTCCATTCTTCGATGATAAAAATGTTTAATTATTAAAAATAAAATTGGTTGTAAAGAATACTGTCTATTTGTGTAACCTTAAGGGGGAGGGTCTTGAAGAATATGATTTTTTAAACTTTTTTATTACTTATAAATTTGTTTTTTAAAGATTTATTTCAAATAATTAGAACGACCTGTAGCCTGCACCGAGCAAAAAAAAAAAAAAAAAAAGTTCTGATATTAGTGTAGATATTTTAATCGGTAAAGAAATCTATCTGAATATGTCATTATTTAAGGGATACTAGTTTTGTTACTTAATCTGAATTGGTTTTAAATTGTTTGAACAATCTTTTGTTAATGCAACTTTAAATTGTTAGTGGTTTGAGGTTTTACCTGCTTTTATATTCCAATTTATCTTCTGAATTTTATCATCTCTTCATCACAGCATGAACTAATACATACCCTTCAGTGTATTATTTGAGATGGTTGTTAAATTTAATCCATTGTTTTTATGTCATAACGTAATAAAATATTACCAATCTTTTATGTTAGTTGCTTTATTTTCAACATTCGTTTGCCTCATCATAGCCTATTAGATTATGACCTAGACCAGCGATTCTCAACCAATGGTACGCAAGAGAAAAATGGGTGGTACGCAAAGAAATAAAGCAAGTAAAAAAAGTATTTTTAACGATTAAATTCAAAAATCTCGCGAAGAATAACAACTGATGGAAATTTTCTGTGACTGAACTCTAACTAACTGAAGATTTAAAAAATAACACTTTTGGCTGAACCGAAAAAAAGAATTTAAAGGCATTTCAAATAAAGCTATTAAATTTTTATTCCTTTTTTGCACAACCTATTTGTGTAAATATGGATTTTCTTTCATGTTATATTTAAAAAAAAATACAGAACAAAATTAAAAGTGGATTCTAATTTACGGTTAAAGCTAAGTGAAATATGACCAGACATAAAGAAATTAATCTCTCTTAAACAGGCACCAAATTTCCCAAATTTCAAAATAAATTTTAGAATTAAACATTGTAACTTAAATTTTGATAAAATAGTAAACAATTTTTAATCTAATATTTTTATGTGTGCACATTTAATACAAATAACCTACAAGTTGTGCAAATGGCAAAATATATTTTGATTTAATATTTCTATTGAGAACTTGAAAAATAGTCATTGTAAAATGTAGTAATGGTACTAAAGTTTTCAATTTTTGTTTAGATGATCCGCGTTAGTCAAAAGGTTGAGAACCGCTGCCTAGACAATTTCTTAAGAAAAATCCAACAACACCACCAACCTACTGACGTGTCTGTTAACAAGACCCCATTATGAAACATGATTAAAAAGACCAACAACACCACCAACCTACTGACGTGTCTGTTAACAAGACCCCATTATGAAACATGATTAAAAAGACCAACAACACCACCAACCAGCTGACGTGTCTGTTAACAAGACCCCATTATGAAACATGATTAAAAAGACCAACAACACCACCAACCAGCTGACGTGTCTGTTAACAAGACCCCATTATGAAATATGATTAAAGATTAAATCCTTTGAGACCAACTGGTATAATGACAGAAGCATTTTTTTTCTACAATTGCTCAGTGGGTACTGCAGTTATAGAAAGATATCCCTGAGGAAATTAACAAAAAAAATTATTCTTAAAATGTTCGTTACTAATGATTTAAATGGCTTTAAAAGAAGGGCTCTGATGAAACTGTGATGATTAGAATTCAACTTCTGGCCAGTAAAGCTCCGTTCACACGGTGGTATAAATGTGAACTTGTTTAAGCCGAGCTTCGTTGCTAGGTAACCAGACCTTGCAAAGTCGCAAGAACTGGTTTAAGGATTTTCGCATAAAGTTCGAAATTTTCAACTCTCTGCCAACTTAGCATAAGAATAGACCAATCAGAGCGAACGCACGAAACTTATTGAGCTGGGAAACAAAGCGGGAAAGTTGTTCACACATCTGCGCATGCGCAAATTTAACCTCTCAGATTGTCTACGGTTTAGACTACGGTCTTGCATGTGTAGGCATTACAAGAGTCATAACTTCATGACCAGTGTCAGGGAATTTTAGCAATCAGTCTGTGCCTCTCGAATGCAAGGGGCTGAAGATGGTTCTTCAGCTCTTCTGATATCGTATTAATTACAACTCCCGCATTTTATACCTTATGACTATGTCTCTATGTCATTTATACCACCGTCTGAACGGAGTCTGATGACGCCACTTGGCAATACAAGAGTCATAACTTCACTACCAGTCTTACGAGATTTTAGAGATCGGCGCTGTGTTTGTCATCAAGGCCTCTTGAATGCAAGAGGCCGAAGAACCAACGACTCTTCAGTTCTTCTAATATCGTCTGCGAATATAACGATTCAGACGACTCAAAATACAACCGAAAAATTAAGGAGGTGTGACTGATTTAGTCTGTAGATTCTTTCAGAGAAACAGGTTAGAATGTTCTTGGATTCTCGATTAGAGAAACTTCCCAGTAGCAATATCCTCACATAATATGGACAATATTTATCTGCTTACGCATTCAGTGTTAATTGTCGTTACGTATTGTTAATAGACACAAAAATAGATGTATAATAAACGTGTTTTAGTTCTGTTTTCAGTAAATAATACGCAACGTAACTCAATGCAAAAACTTAGTTACCAATCTTTACACGGAGTCGCCCTGTTGGCGCAGCACACCAGAGACTATCATCACCCCAATTTGCGGCAGACCACACAAAGATAAAAAATTTGCGTGTGCGGTCCCCCTCAAGTCGTTATCGCCGAGCTGTTACAAGGTATGAGACGATATGTTCTGATATTTCAGAAGCAATAACTTGTTCAGTAATGCCCGCATTCGACATTACAAGAGTCATAACTTCATGACCAGTGTCAGGGAATTTAAGCAATCAGTCTGTGCCTCTCAAATGCAAGGGGCTGAAGATGGTTCTTCAGCTCCTCTGATATCGTCTTAAATTACAACGAATCAGAAGTTGTAAAATATAACCAAAAAATTAAAAAGGCGTGACAAATTCAGTCTGCAGTCTGTTTCAAACAGAGCAGCATACCAGAACGATGAGGACAATACTTATCTCTTCAATGCATTCAATAATAATTTTCAATTGTCATTATTGTATTGTTAATAGAGATTCTCTTAGATCTAAAATAAATGTAATTTTAGTTCTATAAGCAGTAAGTAATACGCAACCTAACAAATCAGTATATGGAGTAGTCTCCATCTGCGCAACGCATAGTCGCCCCCCCCCAGTCGAAAGCATGGAGGTAGGAAGTAAGATGGAGTTGCCCTAAACAAGTTTCTCCCGTACCCTGCTCTGAAGCACCGGCGATCCCTACGTGGTGACCAAAACATTGGGTCATTTACCATTGAGTTCAATAGGATTTGAAGCGTTCGGATGTAAATATTTTGTAATTACGTCGTAAATATACATATAAATGTATATATTTTCTTTTTCTACAACACTTCAGAGTCCTAAGTATGTGAAAACAACATATTTTTAAAAACATTTCATTCTGAACGGAATTAAATGCTATACTTTTCACAGGACAGTTTTCTCAGAATGGTTTAATTTGAATGAAATATTTTCACAAGTTTTCGTTAATTACATTAGAAAAAAAAATTAAGGTAATTCGATTTTATTCCGTTAAGGTACAAAAAATTAAGATCAAAGTTTTATTGTATTATTAATATTAAAATTATGCATTATTTCTTTTCTATTTATAGAGCTTCTTCCTAAAATACTTTCTTAAATATGACATGATTTTTTGGCTTCTGGGGCATCTTTTAAATCGAAAAATGTAAGTCTATTTATAATTAATGCTCTGTTCAGTTCATTTTAAATTAGAGAATTATTAGGAATTAGCGAAATACTTTAAATAGTACTTGACTTTCTCTGAACATTTCTGAACGGAATGAAATAAGTTTTTTTTTTTTTTTAAAGTATTATTTAAAACTTGTAACTTGGTTATTATAAAATGTAAGGGGAATAATTCTTTTAATTATACTTATCAGATTTTTTTTACCCTTCATTTCAACAATACATATTCCAAAACTCTTTATTACTTTCTTAAGTGCGCATCTCATAGCATTTGCTTTACAATACCTTTTAAAAGATTGCTTTCCAATACGAACAATTCTTGCTTAAATAGTTTTATAACGTATTTGTCAACAGGATTTCAATTTATGTTTACTACTCAATATTAAGGTTATTATATATTTAGATAACATTTATAATCATTATAAATTAGATACATTTAATAATTAGATTTCTTGACAGTACTTTCACAGTTGTTTATAAGTGATAAATTCTTCATTTCAAATACATTATAAATAATTTAATGAATATTTATGTATTTTGTCAAAGGCAGATACATGCTTTTTGCAATAATATGCAACAATAACATATGGATGTGAAAAAAATTTGTTTTATTTAAAACATTTTGGCATTTGGAAAATAAAATAAAAGTAGCAAATACTCTATCAAGAGTATCGAAAGACGTATACAATTTTAAATGTACCGTAAGGTATTTTTCATTCTTTTAAGCATAACATTTTTCTTAAAATCTATATTTTTGTAGTTCAACAGCTTAGAATTTTATAAAACAAACTCATAATCAAAATCGCGCTGTTGTTAGTTATCGAAAAATAACCAAGATGTGATTTTTGCGTAAATGTCACTAAACTATACAAATTGCTATTATCCATCACACTATGAATGTTTCTTTCATGCGAAAGGGTCCCTTTTTCGATTTGTATGGAACTGTCGTGTGTCGAAATACTATCAGAACCGTGTCAAGCGAGCTTCTGAATGTAAACAAAGAACACCCCATATGGTGACCCAAGCTTCAAAGTAGTGCTTCACTTCTAGTGCCGACTGGCCCCTCCTTCCTTTCCTACCTCCATGGTCGAAAGTGACAGTAAAGCTGAAGAAGATAATTCAATAAATTAGTTTGCAAATAATATTTTATTATTACAAAATTAAATAACTAAAAGTGTTTTTCTATACCTATTATAAAATCATATTTTTTTTACCATTTTTTTAGTTTTCCAATTTTAAAATCCTGCTGTGTTTAAATACAAGGTTGGCCCTATTTTATTAATTTTTTTTTTTTTTTTTTTTTTTTTTTTTCAATTTTAAAACCTTACTTTGGTTTAAATTCGAAATAATATCGCATTTGTGTTCAGATAAAATAT